TTGGAACTTGAAAAGTCTTTTGATCATGTTAACAAAAAGAGGGATACTGGGTCTCCAAAACCAAAAAAATATTTCCCAATTGCAATCAAATGGGTGGAGGAGTGACCTGCTTTCTGGCATACAGAGCTTAAGCCTATGTAACTGGGGTTCAAGCATGCATCTCACAGGGTTAATATTAATGTCAACTACATTCTTAACAGGATTCCCCTTTACAACTATATCTAATTACACAAACATAATTACCTAATAATTTAGATATACAATCAATATCAGTCTATCAATAACATGGAATATAATATACTGAAAACAAAGTTGCTGACTGCACCAATCACATATGGCAAATGGTTCATCATAAAGCACAATCATCTAATCCAAATACCAGCAATTATTAAAAGTTGCTTGATGTTTTCTCATCAAGATCAACAACAACAAAAAATATCAAATGACCATAAACTACTCTCCGTGCTTTTTGAGCACTGGACACTCTCCCTTAGAACTGATCAGCAGATATCCATCATCAATAAAATAATGTCAAATAATCAATGCCTTCAAAGTTTGATCTTAACTTTGGTACTAAGATACAAACCTATTTTTGGGTTAATGGAGAATTGCATAATCCTATCCAAATCATAGTGGGTCTGATGAAACAAAGCATGTGGTACATCAGAGGCATTTTATATTCACATCAATCGAGGTGGTTCTCAGCCAGGTCATAAATGAAACATGCTCCAAAATACATATTAGCTTTATAAACATCTAGGTCAACCTCCAGCTCATTCCTCCACCCCATCTTGCATATTAGGACAAGTTGCCACAATTGGAATTTCTACAGTAGATCGACCTCCAGCTCATTCCTCCACCCCCGTCTTGCATATTAGGAGAAGTTGCCACAGTTTGGAATTTCTACAGTAGACATCTTTCCAGCATGTCATGGAGTGTTACAAGTCAAAAGTCTAACTATCCACAACCTTATATGAAAGTTCTTTAAAAAAGAAGTGATACCTAAAATAAATCATGGAGTATTGATATGGATATTTATGATTTTGATATTATATCCATCAAGGTTCCAAATATGATCTAGAGAGCAAAGTCTTTGATTCATTTGTCAATCTACAAATTAAACTTTGTTTTGAAAACAAATGGCACAACATATATAATATCAATATCATATTCAGTTGATCTAAATCAATGAATAGAACTTAGTAGAATATTCTACTAATTTTCAAAAAAGAAAGTTACCATGAACTTCCTTCAGACACTGCCCTGAATTAAATACATGTAATTAATAATCTCATCTTGAAAGTATACCCTCATAAAATCAAACACAGGGTAAAAAAGAAATAAAGATTGATAAACTTCTTCAGCCCAGATCTTACAAGGAAAAAAAAATTGCACAAAAGGCCTCTGAAATTGAGCTTCAATTTCAAACTTCCCCAGCAATAGGCATCTCCAACTCAACACACTGCTTGATGTCAACTTCTTTTCTTGTGCTTTTATCACCTCCAAATCAAGAGCATGGCTTTAAGTATACGTGTATGTGTTCTCCACAGCACGTCCTGTTGACCCACCTGAATTGCTTTGTTCATACTGAAGTCTTTCTAAAGCTGCAGTTGTCATGCGTACAGATCCACCATGAGTAGTGACCTGCAGAATTCATAAAAACAATTTATTCTTGGGGATCTACATCATTCTGGATTTGGTTTACTTATATGCCAATATAAAGCAATAATGAAAATGTTTACACACTACTTTTCCAAAGAGATTAAAAAATAAAAATAAAATTACCTCTCTGGTATCAGGTAGATTGGGTGCCCTACGGTCAGTTCCCGCTTGGCCTGTTCCCTGGTTCCGCGCCGAGTAGTCTGCCGCAATGACAAACTCAGAAAGTGTGACGTCCGAAGTGCCACCAGACTCCAATGGGATGTGGTTGTCACGGAAGTACTCGAGCAGGTCAAATATGGTTGCAAAGGAGAGGTGTTGCACGCGACATGCACCATCTGGATTAATGGTCATCCTAAGATGCTGTAAGAGGGAATGGGGTTGTCACTCAGGTTGAAGGTTGCACAACAAGCAAGATCACATCACATATTAGGAGGATTTTAAACTGTGCTTTACTCTCAGTGATCTAGGGTCTTTATCAATCTATATTTAGATGAGCTGAAATATATATCTTGACATTAAGAGCTTTTATTTTCTTCTTGTTTAAATGAGGTTTCTTGAAAGGAACATTACATTTACTAAAATTGAAAGTTTCTTAAATACACTCAAATTCACAAAATGTGACCCAGCACCACCAAATGAGCCTGAAGTTGCCAGGTGAAGTTTTCCAGCTGATGGCACCGCTGCATACTATAGGGAATCAGAAGGGACTCTTGCATTTTACAGAGCATCAGCTTTCCAACAGTACCCAGATGAATTGAATCGGGTGAGTGGTTCCAAAGTTATGGGAGGCAGAATGTTAAATGCAGGAATTCTATTCACAGTATTGAGATACAGGAAGTTAGAACAATGCATGATAGGAACACCTTCGCAATGTAAAGTTCACACACAGATCAGAAATTAGATCGAGAACATTACTGTCCACATTATTACAATGTCATGTTGTCCCATTTCCAGCTAATCAGGCTTATTAATCAACATTATGATTAAATCATAGAATCAGGTTACTATACCATTCCTGCACCTATATCATTCAGCATTAGATGCAGTTATAAATTCATCATGAATAAACTATCATAATAATCACACATCAAGATGTTTCAGTGCTTATCAAAACCTTTTCTACATAATGGAGCCTTGCAACTTTTGACCCATTTAGCAGTGCCATGTCACAAATAATCATCTAATGTAAACAATAAAAATTATATAATAAATCATGTATTATTGTAAAAATCGCCTTTTCAATTGTGTACAGATAAATACAGACTCGTAGACAGAGAAACACCAAGAAAACAGTCTCATAGGCACACACAAAAATCACTCATTTGTGTAAAAATTCCACATATGTACATATAAATTACACAAACACTAATCCTATACTCACATACAAAAATAACAGGTACACTAATCTCATAATTCCTCTTACCCAATACTAAATTTAGAACCCACTACCAGTTTATTAGCATTACCACTTACCTTTGCTCTTCCCTGGTAGTTGAAGGTAAGGACATACTCCCCCTTGCGCGTCTCACTTTGTCTCACGAGGAACACCCCATGGCCAGCCACAGCCTCCTGGAGGACAGCTGAGGCGGCATCACAGCGGGACAAAGTGCCATGGAACCAGGGATAGTCCCGGAGGCTTGAGTAAAAGTCCACATCCGTAGGTATGTTAACTAGGGGGTGAGGGAGAAGTGCTTTTAGCAAAGGTTGGATAAGGGATCATGGTTTCTTATTTCTTCCAGTTTCCAGTTCTTGAGAAAGTGTTCAAATGGCAAACTGAAAAGCATCTGAAGTGTGTTAAAGGAAGCACTGGTGATGTTTGGTTAATATCATTTTGCTGCTTTTTGTTAAAGTTACATTCTATGAAACCGAGGGCAGGGTGGAAAAGAAAAGAGGCATGAGAAGGAGGCAGAGAGAGGGATGAAGGAAGATAGTGTGAGGAGAGAGGGAAAGAGAAGGAGAAGAGGGGGTAAAAAAGGATAACTGAATACATATGTAAATCTTACAGTATGAGTTGCTTTAAAGAGTTACTCGCCTTCTGGAATTCTTTCCTCATTTTTTTAACAATACAAAATAATTTTTAAAAAAGGCATTAAACACCCTCAACTTTCCCACACACTCCTTTATTCTACTGGCCACTAAGCAGATACAACACTGTAGAAAAACACTCAACAGAAGAATTCTTGTACTATGAAGATACGTTATGGTACAGTACAACAAAGCATAATACGGTTTGGTTTAGTGATATTTTACTTGGAATTATTTGACAATACTAATTTATCCAATTATATGTCTGATAATGCCATGGTGAGCTTCTATCAGGCAGAGACAAGTAACACAAAGATAGCTTAACAAAATCACTTTGACTTATTAAAAAATCAAAACAGAGTTGGAATCCACTGCTGGTACTTTGAAACTGACACTTTAGAACTGCTTCCCACTTAGACATTTATATACTGAAACAAAATTATTAACATACCTGCTAGGACAGTGGTTCCAAGATACCACCATTATTTTTAGACAAGCAATGGCAATGGTTCTGCAAGTAGCTCTGAGCCATTCTCTAATGACAGCAGTTAGCAGTTGTTTTGGTAATATGAATAAATAACTGGAGGATAGTTTCAAGTATCAATGCATCAGGTGCACTTTGAAGAGTAAACAAGTCCTTTAAGACAAAGTGAGTAATGCTAAGCATCAAAACCACTGCCCGTTTCACTAATATAAAAAGGAAACATAATCAATAAGAAATAATTTCCAACAATTTACAGTGAGAGATGCTATGCTCCAGATCTCTTCCTATCAATCCATAAATATAGCATGACATGATCAACAGTTAAAAAAGGAAAAACAGATAAAATATAGTTTTACCTGCCAGCAAGCACATTCTCAGATACAAAGACGGTAATAAAAATCTAAGGATGTGATCAAACATCAACCGTATGAGAACAAGTTGATAGTTCTTCCCATCTCTTACCAACTAATATTCAACCAAAGAGACATTCATCCATGTTTTTTTTCTTCATAAAAGCACTTCTTTCTTCTAAAAAATACTTCACAACATATTTCCAACATCCCCTTCCAACTATCTTTATGAAAAGTGATATCAGAGCTAAGGCATACATAATCCTATTTTTCAATGCATGAATGACAGCCCACTCATTCACCTGTTTTGCCCACTAATAATATCTTGGCGCTTCCTCACATGCCTTACACACACACAAAGCTGAAGGTATAACCTTAAAAACAAATGAAACTAGTATTCTGAACTAGTAAAAATATGAGTTTCATGTTAACTAGTACTGTTTAGGTAATAATAACAATAATGACATTAAATAAAACAACAAAAATCATATTAAAATTTACAGGAACTTCAAAATAAAAAAAAATCTTAAATCAGACTTTTTGCACAAAACTTTACAATGTACAGGTCCTGAGTTTTTTCAGTTTCTCCAAATAGTCTCAAATGATACTTCCAGTGCAATTTTTATAGTTTGTTTTGCAACAAACCTGGAACTTGCTTTTCTGCTTCTATATCGCAGCCTTAATGAAGATAAGAATAAAATAAACAATAATAACAATAATAATAATATAATAATAATTAATATAATAATAATAATAATAATAATAATAATAATAATATAATAATAATAATAATAATAATAATAAATAAATAATAATAATAATAATAATAATAATAATAATTATTATTATTATTATTATTATTATAATTATTATGTAATTATAATATTATATATAATATAATATAATAATAATATAATAATAAATAATAATAATAATAATAATAATAACAACAATAACAATAATAATAACAATAATATAACAACAAAATAATAATGGTTATGAAAGTAATCATTTAATGGAACAAAATTAAAGTAAAGGCTACTGATACTCACCATTTTCTTCATTGGAGTAATCACCCAGACCATTCTGTGATCTCGTGTGTGCTGCGAGATTGTTCTGTCTTGCTACAATGCCACTTGCCTGCAGGTTTCATAGAGAAATGTCAAAGTTAATCCAACTGCAAAACTATAATACTGTGGTAAGACTACCTTCTTATTTATATGAAGTGAATATCATGCATGATCTTACAAAATTTAAAACCATAAGAGAAAGACAACAAAAAAAATTATAACAGCATAAGTACTGAAAAAAAAAAAAAAAAAAAAAAAAGGTTTTCCTGCCTGCTGTGAGATGGGTGAGGTAGTGCCTGGAATTCTGGGAGGCAAGTCTGGTGGGTGTTCTGGTCGGGCCTCGACAGCCTCTGCCACCAGTCCTCCCTCCCTCCTCCCCTCCTCCACTTCTCCTCCCCTCCTCCTCCCTCCTGCCTGCAGCTGGGACTGCAGCTGATAGGGACTGTGAAGACTCATTCTTCACGCTGTACATTGCAGGCCGCAGTTCATAATTCTTTGACCTATGTGAAGGAGATATTTTACATATATCATTATCATATGTAAAATACATTTCATGCCATTATTTGCACAATAGCTAAAATCCTATTCTGAGGCTGAATGCATATATGTAACATGATAGCAGTCACACAAAACTCTAAACTTATCAAACATTTCCAAATACAATGGGAATAAAAGATTACCTAAAAAGAAATAACCCAAAAGAACAACTTCCACATTAGTAGCAGATTCTTTATCCTCTTATGTTCTTTGAAGAGAATAAAATCAGTAATTATCACACACAAAAAGGAAACAAACCCCACAAGCACTTACTGTTCTTTTTCATTTGAGCAGCAATAAGCTACAATGGTAGTAAGCCATGTTTTCATGTCTTCCTGATCCTGAGCCTCAACTACCCACTCATTCCCACTATCCGCCTGGAAAGGATAACACTTGATCATGACCACCAGCTAAAACTGCAACTTTTATTCTATTACTTTTCTGTACTTTTATCATGCAAGGTTTCTTCTTACCCCTTGCATCATAATCTTTCATGTAGAGTATTTAATAACTTACCCAAAGACTTATTCTATTTTTTAAATTTAGTTTCCATGATTTTAGATACATTTATGTCATACATTATCATTTTCTTTGAACAAAGGATTCAACCATTCACAGTAACTTCATAAATTATATCTTTCATACCATATAAAGCAGACTAAGCTACACATGAGCAGAATCCATTAATCTTCACAGCATAGTCTATAAGTCTTACTGGCTGATGATCTGTGACTATGACTAACAAATCACTTCTCAATAGATCTCTATGGATCCTGATGACATCACATCTGTTCTAAAACTTTATACAAGGACAAATTTTGGTTGAAAGAGGTAATGACAAATTTCACAAGAGTGCTAACAATCACTTGGTTAATGCCTAACTACATAAGAGTGGTCCAAAACATCAAGGGCAGGTCGGGTCGGATCTTGCAGGCAGGGTGTACAAGTCAGGCAGGATTAGGATGTAAGGTGAAGGTGAAGTAGAGGGACTGGAGATGTCCAGTTCAGATAAGGTCATATGGCCCCGTCAGGTAGGATTAGCCATCTGTAGATGTTAAGCTCAATGTGAAAGGGACAAAGCAAATCAGTTGTTTGTTTGATTCTGTTTCACTCACTTAATATAATAGCATGTCTATGCCATTATTTGTCAAAAATATATATATACTCCCTACCAACTTGGTATGTCTCTGAAACTGATAAAATCCAGTTGCTTGCATGGTGGTAGTGAAAAGAGTAGAGTATACAAATATTATCATTATAGTATAGATCATTTCTAGATTCTCTTCTGAAAAGTAAAAAAAAAAAAAAAAAAAAAAAAAAAAAACATGTGATTCAATCCAACTCACCTTGATAACAAATGTGTTTCTCAAGTCAGGCATTTCTAGGTCTGTCGTCTCTCTTGCTTCATTGATTGATATGCAAAATACACCAGTACGAGGCTTCATACTCTGAAAACAGAGGATCAGTGATTATTTTGCAAAATCTGAAGCATTCTTCCAGCTTCTAATTCCCATATTGTAACTGTATAAGACATATCACCATTTAAATTATCAGTATACAATCTGATACACAGCAAATTTCCAAAAGAAGAATTTCAAAGGGAGATGATTATTGAGAAATGGTAAAGCAAAGAATCATCAGAAGTGTTAAAGGATGAATTATCATCCTTTCTTTATTTTATACCTTCAGATGATAAGTCAAGAGTTAACCCAGTCCTAACCAGTACATTAACTGATAATAAAAGCCACACCTTAGAGATAATGACTTGTCCATAAGTATTGCCTTTGAGATTTCATCCATCCAGATTCCTAAAATTCTTATTTTGTGTTAGTGTCAGTATTCAATTTTGGGATCACATTTTCAAAGACAAAGTATTTCTATTGTCTCTTATGGGTATGATTTTCACGTTGCTAGAACAATGTCAAATCAAAGTTAAGAGATTCCCAAAGAAACATCTTTCTATGTCATCTCCATTTTAACAATTTCTTTAACCTAAAGAGAAGAATAAACACATGGAAGTTTGAAGTTGATCTCTCTACTTCATAGTAACTTAACCCCTCAGGGACAGTAACCGCTATAGCCGTCATGATGCAACAGCATATGACATGTAAACACGTCATGACTCACAGCAGGTGGGCCTGCTGTACACAGCTCAAGCCTAGCCACAAAGTTTAGATTGTTGCATAATATTACATCACAAACAAATCTGGCCCATGACCATAAGGTTAACCCTTTGCTACCAGGTGGCATATACATACATGCCATGGCTGTTGAGGATGGCGTGTAGCAATGCATCACAATGATTCCTGCACTGTTGGCTCATTGGACAGACCTTAGTGGCATCATTTCTATGGGGAAACGTTTAGGCAATAGCACTGAAAGTGAGGTAAACATTCACTTTTTTTTCCCTTAATATCAAAATATAAGCTTTTAGGTGCCTAACATAGCCTGCAAACTAAAGAATGATCTAGGCACAAATGAGCTGTTAATGCACGCCAACAAACCGGTGTTACCCATTTATGACGGGTGTCCTATATATGAGACATCCTGAAAAATAAACATGGCCGCGCATCCCATCAGTGTGACATTGGATCGGAGCTCACGGGCCATGGCCGGCGCGTAGATCCTGGGTCGGCCCTGCACGCCGATTTTGTAACCGCCCGGAAAATACTATTTTCAGCTTCAAAATATACCGACGTTAGTGGGTTAATGACCACTAGCCAAATATTGTACTTGGTGTTAATGGGTTAACTGGGTAAAGCACATCCAAGTTATGCAAAAACTTTTAGCCTTCAGTAAATAGGTTTTGGAGACCACAAAAAATAGTGGCTAAAAATATGGTATATAATTATTGTGACTATGGGTGACCCAAGTCAACTTTAAACACCTATTTGTAGACTTTATTTTACATCAATATACCGAACCTCACATCTGTAGCAAGGAGTCACGGTCATGCATAATGTTTCAGCTTATTTACCTTTGATCACTAATCACACAAAAAAATATAAGCAGATGCTACATTCTCTTCTTCTTTGCTATATATAAATGTAGACAATATATACACAAAAAAGAAAATCTACATCCTACATCCTTGCTTGGGGGCTACTAATACCTTTAGACACTAGTTCATTTCAAGTTACTAATGTAGCCTATAATGTTTTCCAGCAAACAGATGTTTTTATAATGTACAATAAGTAAAATTTAATGGTGCAGGTACATTGGTAAGCAGTGCCTTTGTATATGACCATTCCAAGGTGAGAGAAGCAAATTTCAGCCCAATTCTCCTACAATATTATGAAAATGTCCTTAATCCCTATAATCCAGATGACGTTACAGTCCCATCATGGAAAAATCTGGGTCGAGGGACAGGTGATGTGAACATGCTGTCATCGGGCAAAATCACCGAGGGCCAGGTGAGGCAAACTTGCCGTCATGACTGAAGATTAGGATAAGACTCCCTACGAGCACACAAACCTCTTGGAGTGTAATTAGACTCATTTGGCACTTAGAAGGGAGCTTTAGCATTATTCCCATCGATAAACAAATGTGGAATGTAATGTACTGAGTTATTTACGACATAGAAAGATGATATGGAATCCATCTGCAAATCAAAAGACAAATATGGAAAATGGCAAAAAGGCTAAAAAAGTTTACACAAAATAACTTTGCAAAGGGAAGCCACAGAATCTTGTCACCACTCATGGGTGTTCTTGCACGCTCGGCCTACCCACCACACACCCAGGATGTTGGCTACTTACAAAACCTACTGCCCGTATTTTCAGCACCGTGATTTCCATGCCGCAACCAGATCCAAAGGGTTAAAAAAATACCTGATGATGTTGTGAAGTGTAGATGCCAATATTTTTTTTATCCACATAATATGATCTCATAAAAACAACAACAGAAAATATGAATCTTATCCATAAAAAGTTGTCTTACAAATTTTCCTGAATCAGGGAGATATGGTGACGAGTGACTGTCTTTTTTTTTTTTTTTTCATCTTTCACTTGAGCAAATAATAAAACAATTTTCCAAAGAAACACCAAAGTTGACGGCCAAAGAAGCACTCGAGATGTTCGATGAAGCTACTCAAGAAAAGAATGAAGGGTGTTCTGCTTCTTCCCAGCTTCTATCGTGTTAAATTTTTCTTCAACGCTAATTGAAAAATCAGATCCAAAAGTCCTTAACTCACTTACAACGGGTGTCCCACATATGAGACACCCGGAAAAGTAAACATTACCAGGCATCCCGCCAGTGCGACACCAGATCAGATCATGTATATATATATAAATATTATGTACATATTGAATACAAGAAATGTAAGGGTTGTATTATCAAACGTATTTTAAACTTGATACAAATTTACTGGGGATACGCAGCAATATCTATGAACTCTTCAGAAAGCACACAATATTGTTTACATTAGGTTTGTGGACTGCTATTTCCATACTCAGAAATCTATTCCAGTTAACGCATTAACGCCGGTATATTTTGAAGCCAAAAATAAAAGATTCCGGGCAGCTACAAAATCAGCGGGCGGGGCTGCCCCGGACTCTTCCCATCCACCCGCTGTGGCTCGCTGCTGCGTTGGAGCACGAGCCCCAATACAGCATCACACTGGCAGGACACCCGGCAATGTTTATTTTTTCAGGTGTCTCATAAGTGGGACACCTGTCGTTAGTGGGTTAAGGTATGTATTAGTGCCCCTTAAGTAAGCTTAAAGCCTGGATTTTGGGCCATATACAGGCAACAAGGCACCCAGATCCAATGGATTAACCCCTTGGATCAATCATCATTCTTTTCTCTCTTTTGACAATCACAATTTGACATTTTGAAACATTCTTTTCACTCTTTTATCAATCACAATTTGACATTTTGAAACATTCTTTTCACTCTTTTATCAATCACAATTTGACATTTTGAAACATTCTTTTCCCTCTTTTATCAATCACAATTTGACATTTTGCAACATTCTTTTCACTCTTTTATCAATCACAATTTGACATTTTGTGGGCAGATCATTAATCACATTTCACTCTTTTGTTGTTAGGGTCCTGAAGTTTACACACATATCTCCACAATACCAAAGGAAACTAATCAGAAACATGAAAAAACAGCTACAATGTGAATTCAGATGTAGCTAAAACATATAAATATGTATTGCTGAATATATAATAATAATAATAATTATCATTATTACTAATATTATTATTATCATTATTTTTATTATTATTATTTTGGGTTTGCTGTGACAGGCTCTTGTGACATCAGTCAAATTGTGGCTTGTCTGTTTCTTGTGCTTCTAAAGTACCCCCTGTGTGCAAGGAATGGCCGGGCTTACCATCCACTGATAGTGATGATCTTCTCTCTTCTACCTATCCATAGCTGACCCTCATCGCCACTGCTTCTGCCTTATGCAGGTGGCCCCTCTCCAAACTCAAGTGGTATTTTCACATCATCCAACTTTTGCATTTCACTTATGTATTAACTTTTCTTGGTAGTTCTTATGGTACAGATGCACCCGCCAGAGACAAAGTCCACAACTTCACCCAACAATCTTGGGGGACACGTGGGAAATGCGATTTTCGGAAATACGAGCCAAAATTTACATTTTCTAAAATCGAAGATATATGACTTTTCCGAAATGCGAGTGTTCAATTATGTCGCCCTATTTTAATATACGATAGCGCAAGTGCACACCATAAAATTTACTCAACTGTCTAAGTTGCAGTGACTGGGTATGCCCTTCGGGCACTGCCCGAGAGGAGGGTAGATGGGGGGCGGAGCCCCAACACCCCCCGGGAAACATTCTCTTCACCTCAGTATGCACTGCACGATAAGAGCTGAAACAGCTCAGAACATTGCATTGCACTTTTCATACTTTCTTTCTTTTAGGATGATTCCGTGAATCTGTAAAAACTTTATGATCTCCAGTTTTTCCATTAAATTTCGAAAAAAAAAGTCAAGCACACCACTGAAACACAAATGACACACCTCGGTCATGACCACTGAGAAGAATGAGGCAGGCCACCAGTGTAGCCAGAAATGTGCGTGTGTGCTAAGTATCAACTGCATTTGTGTAGTTTGGCAATTAAGTATATTATTGATTAGCCAAAAGTGTGGATCAAAATACACATTTTAACGTAAAAACAGTTGAAACGTGAATATATATGAAACATTAGTCGATAGTCATGTGCATTTTTATGATATAGTATATGGAATATTATACTTGAACTTTAATGACCAATTAAAAATCTCTGCTAAACTGCCGCCTCCTGATTGGTCATAAGGTAGTGGTGACATAGGTGGGCAGTGGGACAGAAGACGATGTGCAAGCTGCATGGCAACTTGTTCTTACGCACCAAGCGAGTG